TATATCTCCACAGAGAATCCAGAGTTGTTACCTGGTCCAGACCTTACTTTTTGGGGACAGGAAGTATAAGGGTATGGATCAAAACTCAGTAATTTAAGAAAACTAAAAGACTTAGGTTTTGAATACTGCTGTTGTCCTTGGCTGGACTCTGCAAAATGACTTTGGTTTCAAAGGTTTGGGCATGTCCAGTTGGGTGTTGGACACCCCTCCCCCAAACAAGAAACAGATACATCTATGTCCTATAATATTCTGCTTTGAGGGTCTTCTTGAGTTCATGTGAAATGGTGGGCTACCCACCTGAATCTATCTGGATTCCCGAGTTACTTTATTTATTTATATTTATTTATTTGTTGTCAGATACAAGACTTGTATTTTGTGGCTCTCAGGTTTTCACTTGTACAATTATATTTGCAGAAACATGACCCACCTTTGAGTAGCATTCCTTGCTTACATTACAAGAAGATGAAGGAGAACGAGGAAAGGGAACAAAACAACGACATAACACCAAATGGTGAAGTCTCGCCTATAAAACTCATGCATAAGTCTTTAGAATCGGAGTGCCAAGCAGAGGAGCCTGATTCCACGGGTGCTGATTCAGGGACTTTAGATGAGAAAGACCCTTCTGGGGGAGATGCAGCACAAGGAGCCTTAGGTCAAGTTAAGGCCAAAGTGGAAGTGTGCAAAGATGAATCAGTAGGTAAGTGCTGAAAACTGAGGGTCTTGGATTTTGCTCACATTTGCAGTGCGAGCCAGGTCTTCAAGTTAGGAGACAAAGTCCTTGTTTTAAAACCACAGAGAAAGCACAAGCTGAACGTAGCATGGGAAAGACCTTTTAAAATTGTAAACCAGGTTTCTAATATAAATTATTTAGTCAGTGTAAATCCTGAAGGGGCACAAAGTAAGTTATTGCATGTAAACATATTAAAACCTTATCTTGATTGAGGTAATCTAGTCTTTATGGCCAGGGAAGGACAAAAGAAGGAAATTGAACTAATGGGTTGGGGAAAGATTAACCAAGGGTAGTATGGTGAGTGAAGTTAGTTTAGCACTGACCATTACCAAAGTTCAAAAGTGGCAAGTTAAAATCCTCTTAATGGACTGCCAGTGCATCTTTTCCAGCTTCCCAGGGAGAACTCAGCTAGCTCAACACAAGATAAATACTGAAGATATCAGACCTATTGTTCTTCCACCTTACAGAGTAATTGGCCCTAATGCCACCAGTATTGAAAGGGAGGTTACAGAGATACTGAACCTTGGACTTATTGTACCCTCAGAAAGTCCTTGGGCCTTGCCAGGTATTTTAGTTCCAAAACTGGATCAAATGGTAAGATTTTGTGTGGAGTGTAGGAAATTGAGTAAGGTGATGGTCCCTGATGTATATCCTATGCTCAAGGTTTAAGAAACAATTGGTGCTGCATATTTTATTTCCACATTAGACTTGACAAAAGGGTATCGGCAGGTATTACCCCAAAACAGCCTTTGTAACCAGAGAGGGACTTTTTGAGTTCATGGTTTTGGCTCTTGGTCTTAGGAATGCCCCAGCCATGTTCCAGAGGCTGATTGATAAACTATTGATTGGGTTAAAAGATTTTACATTTGCATGTATAGATGATATTGAAATCCTTAACCAGACCTGAAAAGAACATCTACAACATCTAGCCATAGTGTTCCAAAGAATAAAGGAGACTGATTTAACAGAGGAAGCCTCAAAATGCCAAATAGCTATGCACCAAGTAAAATATCTAGGGTACATACCTGGAGGATGGGGTAATAAAGCCAGTGCAAGTTATACAGGAATGGCCCAGACCCACAACCAAAAACAAATTAGAGCTTTTAGAGGAGTTGTGGGATATTGTTGGTTTGTTCCAGAGTTCAATTCCATTGCAGCCCCATTGTGTGAACTTACCAAGACTTTATCTGACAGTGTAAAATGGACACTTGAATGCCAAACCACCTTTGAGCACTTCAAACAAATATTGACCACAGACCCAGTCTTGAAGACTCACCAGTGCTTCCAATATTGGGATAGGGGCCATGCTAAGCCAGATTGGAGATAATGGAATCCAACATCCCATCCTTTAATTTACTTGGAAGTTAGTGGAGAGAGAACAGCACCTCTCCACCATAGAAAAAGAATGTTTGGCAATAGTGTGGGGCCTTGGGAAAGCTAAAACCATACATCTGGGGAGGGAAATTCACATTATGTACCGACCATTCCCTATTATGTAGGCTGAACGAAGTAAAAAGCACCAAGAGCAAATTAATTAGATGGAGTCTCCTATTACAGGATTTCAACTTTGACATTGTGCATGAAAGAGGGAAAGGAAATGTAGCTATAAATGTACTCTCCAGAAACACCTAAAGGTGAAGGTTATAAAATTGGTGTGAATTATATATGGTTATATATAGGAAGTTTGACCTATTGAGATTTTTAAAATGTAAAATGCAGACACCTGATGCACCCCATTGCACAGGAGTGGCGTGAAAGAACCTCTTCTGAAGTAATGAGAAAAAGGGTGGAACATGCAATGGACAGTAAATGGTTAAGACTTTAACCCAGTCTGAGAACCTTGAGTGACAGGATTCAAATAGAATTCTTCAGCTGAGAGTTTCACTTGGGAGTTGAGGGTTGACAGTTAACAGGGAGAGGGTGAAGCAGACTGTGAGAGGATCAAGAAGGATCCATCCTGAGTTAGGGAAGTGGGATGCGTAGCCCATCCCTTTCAAGACTAAGGGAAATAGTTCCTAGTGAAGGGGGGTGATCCTATGAAGACTGAGGGAAATAGCTCCTAGGACGATGGGGGTGATCCCTAGCCAGTGAATAAGGAAGGAAACTTGTGTGAATGTTCTTGCCTTCACCAACTTTATGAGTGTATATTAGTAAATGCTGACCCAGCCTAGGGAACTGAGAGGAGAGACTAAAATACTTCTTTTGTCCTGGTTTGATAATGGCACATGAGAGGCTGATGGTAAATCAAAACTAACAAACTGTTTTATTTCACTTTGAGGTGAAATGGTCAGGAAGGAATCAGGTTTAGGACTTATGAGGTGAACAGGCAACAGGAATGAGGTAACGTTGTATGAAAATAAACACCAGATAATTTGCCACAAACAAGTAACTGTTTCTGTTATTCAGAGAGGTCTTTAAAACTTGAGAGAGATTTCTTGGCAGTTTTTTCTTACATAAACAAGCATAAGCTTCTTGGTTTCACAGACACTAAAGTTGGTGAGAACTTATTTAGGGTATTTCTGTGCCACCACTTGAGAGTCCTGTTTGAGGCAGCTTACAATTAAGACAACAATGTAAAAATAACCCATTAAAAACAAGACATTGGCTATAAGCACCACAAAACCATCAGTGAAACAGAAGCAGACTATTTAAAAAAGCTAATTAAAAGCCTGGTTAAAAAGATGGGTTTTGGCCTGGTGCCTAGGAGAAAGTAAGGTAGGCACCAGGCAAGCCTCAAGGGACAGTGATGTTCAAGATGCAGGGTGCCACTGCAGAAAATTCCAGGTCTCTAGACGCCACCCACATCACCTCTGAACACAGGAGGCTTGAGAGGTGGATCTTAATCGGCAGGCTGCATAGTATGGGAGGAGACAGTCCTTCAAGAACCCTGGACTCAAGCCATCTAGGACCTTAAAAATAAGGGCCAGCACACTGAATTGTGTCTGGAAATAGATGGATAGCCAGTGTAGATTCATCATAGGGCTGATATAATTGCTGTAACCAATCTCTGACAATAGCCTAATATTGGACCAAATGAAATTTGCATACGGTTTTCAAAGGCTGCCCCACGAAGAGCACATTAATCTAACTTGGATGCAGTCAGATATTCGATCACCTAATCAGACATTGGATCACCATCACCAGATTGTGCTTTTTGAGGAACAGTCATATCAGGTGAACTAGCAGAATCTCATAAAAGGTAGAGGAGACCTGAGTCTCCAACCATAGGCCAAGGTCCAGTAGCATGCGTAAGCCACAAACCTGCTCCTTCACAGGGAATGCAACCCGCTGTGTCTCCTCAGTTCCCAAGCAGCTTCTCCAATTAAAAGCTGCACCTCATTGTTGTCTGAACTGAGCTCTAGTTTATTGGCCCTCATCCATCGCATTACCTTCTCCAGGGTATGACATTCATGACATCCACAGACCCACCTGGCTTTGCTGTTAAGAAATAAAGCTGGGTGTTACGTGCATATTGGTGACACTTAACTTCATATCCCGGATCGCCTCTCCCAGCAGCTTCATTTAAATGTTAAATAGCATTAGGGACAAGATGGAACACTGAGGGACCCAACAGCATAAGTGCCAAGAGGCTGAGCAGCAGTCCCTCAGCACCACCTTCTGGATTCAGTCAAGTAAGAAAACAATGACTGACATATGGTACCCCCCACTCCCAATGCAGCCAGCCTCTCCAGAAGGGCACCATGGTTGATGGGTATCAGAAGCTGCTGAAAGGTCCAGGAAAATCAGCACAGATGTATTCTCCCCTTCACTCTCCTGGCAAAGGTCATCGATCAGGACAACCAAGGCCATTTCCAGCCCAGACCTGAGACCAGATTGAAATAGGTCTAGGTAATCTGTCTCCTCCAAGACCACTTGAGGCTGCATAGATGCCACCCACTAGAGCACCTTGTCCAAGAATGGGATATGAGTCATTAGGCAGTAGTTGTTTAGATCATTCGGGTCAAGGGGTGATGGATGCCTTTTTCAGGAAGGGTCTCACAACCTCCTCGTTCAAGGCTGTTGGAACTGCTCCCACCTGCAAAGCAGCATTTAGTATCTACTGGGCCAGGTCAACCAACCCAGTCTGCCTCACCCCACAGAGACCCTCTACGGGTATGGGGGCCAGAACCTCTCCCTGTTGCTTTCAGGAGGAATTGTTATTCTGAACTGTAATGCTTCCAATTTAGATATTGTGTCCGATAGCTTTTGATGAGCCCACTGCTTCTGAATTTATCTTTTTAAGCTGTCTAAACTAGTTGTTATAATTACCCCATATAGCAGTGAGTTCGGCAAGTTAATTAAGCATTGTGTGAGGAAACACTTTGGCCTGTGCAAGAATCATTGTTATAGAAGGAACGATGCATAAATTAGGCTAAGATTTTGTAAGTGTCAAATTTCTGGGTCGGAGGACTTCCAGTTGATTGTGAAGAACTGAGTTGGTGGCTCTCACGTAGCATATGGAACAACTAGATGTGTTTATTTTTCTAGACCTGGAAGATTTTAGACATTACCTTGAAAAGCGTTTTGACTTTGAGCAAGTAACTGTAAAAAAGTTCAGAACCTGGGCAGAGAGGCGACAGTTCAACCGTGAGATGAAGAGAAAACAGGCAGAGTCTGAGCGGCCCATCCTGCCAGCCAATCAAAAGCTGATTACCTTGTCTGTACAAGATGCGCCTACAAAGAAAGGTAGGTTTTGAGGCAATGGGTTCTTGTCGCTAGTGTCAAGATTTATTTGCCGTTTGCTGGAAGACTTCTGAGTGCCAGATCTTTGTCTTCAGATTTTTGGGTTTGTGATGTTTGTTTAATTTATTTTTTTATGTTGGGGATTTTAATCCCACCCTACCCTGCAACCAGACTCAGGGTGGCTTACAACATGGCATCCAACAACAGAGCATACATTAAATTAGTTAAAGCCATTAATTAAAACATTGTTACTAATGATTAAAATTTAATTACTGATTTAAAATAACCTACTGGCTGCTCGGCTAATAGTTTATTTCAGTGCAAGCTGGGCTCGTACCAGAGAGGGCGGTGACAAACTCTAACTAGGACAAGTCAGTTCCTTCTGGTGCCCATGATGTAAATAGCATTAGGGATCACTTGAAGCAGGGGAGGCCGATGTTCTTTGACATCCACAGCCTCAACCAAAGAGTCAATTCAAACGGAAACATCCTGATTTGTAAAAAGCACTTAGATTTACAGCCTCATGAACGTGGCTTGTACTGGAAACAACCTGAACCATTCCATTCTCAACTTGAAACGGAGGATAGGGAGTTAGGCTTGGAACATTTGGCCATTTGACTGGTCAAACTGTCGAGCATTTCATAATATCAGGAAGCGCACATCATTATGTGACAACTTAACTTTTAAAATTTCATCAGTGTGTTGTTTATTGGCAAGAGCAGAGAATGCTGCTTACCTCGTGCCCCTCAGCAGTCAGGACCAAACCTGAGCAGCACAGCAAAATTTCTCTGATTTGGAGATACCTGAAATTACAGCAGGTGACCAAGCGGGAAGCATTGATTATCTGCTCACCAATGACAGCTGCCTTGCTGTTAAGCATCATTTTTGTTTTTAGAGGAAAATAGTCTCAGTGGCTATCTTTATTAATTAAATTCATTTTCCCACATGGTATTCCGCCCTTGAAGGTGAAAACCAAATTTCCACAGGAAGTTTAGATTTCTCTACCCACTGGTATGATTTTTGCATTCAGGTGGTGCTACCTTTTGAACTTAACATAGGGCCTTTGCCTTCCCCTATACATGTACGTTTGCATTTCTGGAGTCTGTGTGGAGAGAAATCATCCAGTTTTAGATGGTTCTGCTCAAAGAGGAATAGGCACAAAACAGAGTATACCCCCATTATTGTACTTTACAGAAGCAGGCATAATGATATATCCAAATTATTGTAGCCTCTAGGCATCAGAATATGTGGTTGCAGAGGGTCTGCTGTTACTCTGAAGTAGGAACTATTCTAAAAATAAGGAACTCACACCCAGCCAGCTATCTCTGTCCATATGATAGAGCCCTCTTCAGTCTTGCATTTTAAGTTAGAACTCATCTTCAAAGTTGCTCTTGCTTTAGCTTGTATTTGGCCCTCCTTTGAATGAAGAGGAGTGGCAGCTGAGCATGAACTTGCCCTAGTAATTAGTGTGTGCACACAATGGTATTAGACAGGCTTTACACTTAAGTTTGAATAAGACACTTAATCTAATGTTAAAATCCTCCAACTCTTAAAACATGGCAAGATAAACTGCGAGAACAGTTTGTAATGGCAAAAATTGCAGTCTTGAATCATAGTGCACAAACTCCAAACACTAGGACACTTTCAAAATTCATATTAACATGGGAACCGGTCATAAATTATATGACAACACATGAAATTATTCCCTCTAAGCCACCGAATCATAATTGGTTATTCATCTGAAGTAAAGCACTATCAGTACAAAAGAAATCAGTAAAAAAGAAAATGTAGACATTCTAACACATGAAGTTCAATCTAACAATACTAAACCTATTACTAGGTAATTTAAAGATAAATAACAAAGAGCAGGAATACTTGTAAAACTCATTTCGGTGTTTATTTAGTTTTAATCACATAAATTTATGCAAGCAGCACTTTGTTTATGTAATCTTATTTTAAAAAATAATTAAAAAAATTAAAAGTTGCTGTGCTGTTTGTAGCAGACATCTCAAAAGTACTTAACAGCATACCTGAAATGTCTTTTTTCTAGAATTTGTTATTAATCCCAATGGGAAATCTGAAGTTTGCATCCTGCATGAATATATGCAACGAGTCCTAAAGGTTCGCCCCGTTTACAATTTCTTTGAATGTGGTAAGTCTTTCAGAACAGCATTTTTATAGAGTGAATGGTTGACTGCAATGTCTATATTGTACTCTGACATACAATAGTTATCTTAATGTGCCAAGTATTTCAGAAAAGCTGTCTGTACTGTGTAAGACTTCCTTTCACAGAATACATTCATAGTCCACAACTGAAGCAGGCAACTTTTTTGGCGCAAGTGCCAAAAATACTTATGGTGTTGGTGTCCCAGCAAACAAAAGATATTAGTGGGAAGGAAGGGGCATGCTTGGAAGAGGCTGCTAACAACCCAGGGACTTGGCTTTGTCCCTTGGTTGGAGAGCCAGTGCTGAGTAAAATGGTGTGCCACGCCACTATTCAACATGCATGGTGGGGGCTGCTTACCTCTGTTGAATCATGGGCATTACACCTGCAGTATGCACAATCCCCCCCCCCCCCAAAAAAATGATGGAGGTATATCAGGAGAACATAACTCATTATAATGTGTAGCGTTCCCAATTCAGAATGTTAATGGCAAGTAAACGGTCTTGAAAGTGTTAAGACCATCAGGAAATTGACCTAATGAATGTAGAGGCTACTAAATGACCAGATATGTCCTTTGATAGCAGTAACTGGTATGACATCATTTCCAGAGTGTTTAGCTGTTTTTCAAGAAGTTCTGTCACATTAATGTGGCTTGGAAGAATAGTAATCTTCTGTCAACCTGTGACAGAGGCAACCTGTTTCCATATTATTATGGGCAAATGACACTTCTATATGACACGGGAGAGGTAATCAGACACTTTGGTAATGTAGATTGAGTTACATTAAAATATTGTGTTTTCCAATTTTCTGTCTTCCTGCTTTGAAGAGAATCCAAGTGAGCCTTTTGGAGCCTCTGTTATTATTGATGGAGTGACATATGGAGCAGGAACTGCAAGCAGCAAAAAACTTGCCAAGAATAAAGCTGGTAATGTAATCATATCAAAGTAACAGTAATTGAATAATAGATTATTGAAGCCAAGAAACAGTAAGGTTGAAACCTAAAATATGCATGCTTTGTGTATGCATATTAGTAACTTCCGGTAGCATCAGTGGGACTTATCCCTTGGTAAATACCTGGAGGCTTATCCAATACTGTGGTGTTAATGTTTTAATGTTTTAACTGTTTTATCTTGATACTAGGAATAAGTCCCGTGGTAGAAATAAATACGAGCTCTAGAAAGAGGCTCTGGGAGAGTGCCCCGGCCTTGGGCACTCAGTGCCAATTTGCTGTGGTGACCGCAGCAGGGTATAATGACACAGAGTCCACCATTTTCTCCAGGGAAACTGATCTCTGCCATCTGAAGAGCAGTTGTAATTCTGCGTGATCTCCATCCCTCCCCTGGAGACTGGCAACAATGGTTCCCCATGAGGGAATGGCTGGTTTGGAGAGTGGAGTCTATGGCATTGTACCTGTTGAGGTCCCACCCCTCCTCAAACCTCACCCTCTTCAGGCTCCACCCCTCAAATCTCCAGGACTTTCCCAACCTGGAGTTGGCCAACCTATCAGGACTGGCCCCAATGAGTTTTCTCCCAAAGGCCAAATAGGTGTGGAAAGGACCTTTTAATGACAGAACCTGGTTGCCCAGCAACAGGCACTGAGGAGAAAGCACCATTGCCACCTCTGATTAGGGAAATACCTGGAGATTTGGGGGGTGGATCCTATGGAGGGCAGCATTGGGGGGGCATGGAAGGACTCAGCAGGGGATAATGCCATAGGGTCTACCCTCCAAAGCAGCCATGTTCTCCAGGGCAACTGATCTCTGTCATCTGGAGATCAATTGTAACAGTGGGAGCTTTCCAGGTCTCACCTGGAGATTGGCGACTCTAGGGGAAAGTCAGCCGCACAGCAGGGGGTTGAAGTGAATGGCTTGATGGTCGCTGGCCCACCTCCTTAGCCAGCCAGCCAGCCAGCCAGCCATGGTAGAGCCAAAAAGGAGAGAGAGCCGTGTGAAGTTTATTCTGAGAGGAAAGTGTTTTTTTACTGACAGAAGTTGGTTGCCTACCAACAGCCACTGAGGAGACAGTCACAGTTAGTCCCACACAGGAGCCAAGAGAAGTGTCTTCCTCAGGAGAGAGTCCGGCTTTCCAGGAGCCACAGCTCGTTTTCTCTAGGTCAGACCCTTCCTGCTGCTGCCACCGCTGCTGAAGGAAGGCGGGGGAGCCTTTGAAAGGCCCTGGGCAGCCTTCTCTGCAGTGCAGCCCGCTGAGCTATCACCCTGACAAAGTGTAGGCCTTGCAGCCAAGGGAAAGGGGCCGTGAGGGGCAGCAAAGGTGAGTGCTTCCCTTGCTTGCCGCCGCTTGCTAGGTCTGCCTCCTTCTCCCCCATGGAGGGGTTGCTGCTTTCTTTCTCCCCCATGGAGGGGTTGCTGCTCTCTTAGCGGAGCATCCATCCACTTCGCCAGCTCCCTCCAGACTGAGGGCATAACGCTGCCCACCGGCTCGGTGGGTGGGGCTGAGCCAATGCAGCCACAGGATTGGGAGACTGAGAATGGCAGCTGAGCGTGCGAAAGGCTGTGGAAGCGTGTCCAGGAGGGACACTAACACTCTTTTATTACAAGGAGAGAATAGATGTTTTTATGAATGTTATACATTGCCCAGAGCCCTGCAATTAGCAGGGGTTGGGCGACTTAACAAAATTAGCTAAGTAAACATTCAAAATTAGTCTTTACCCTTAACTGATAAAATTATTGAAGTTACAAATGTTGAAGAACATTGCATTGCATTTGTTTGGTTAAAATCTGTTGCTATATCTGTAATCCGTCGGAAGGGCAGGGTATAGATGCAGAATAATGTAAATGGATATAAATTGAGCATATCGAGCATAATGGTTACTGATATGCTGATGCATATACTGCAGTTTTGCACACGTTTCTACCCACTCCCCCAGTTGGGATAAAATTCTCAGGGCCCGGATCAGTCACTCAAGGGATCCGCTTTTCCAGTTCTCAGTTAGCCCCACTCTGTAGGGAGTTAACTTTCCTACACAGGGAGGTATGAAGCATGTAAGTGAACTTTTCTCTTTTTCAGTGTACTAAAGCTTGGGCTGTGGGACACACTAGCAGTTAGCAGTTTTTTACAAAAAATGAGTGACTAGGCAAGGAGAATTGAATCCTGCCCCATTCTGGGCCTCACCTCTCTGCACTCCTTTTAATTCACCACATTTCTCTCAGCCTGACTGACTTTCTGTATCATAGACTTCCCAGGATAAAATTTTTGCACGCTCCATAACACAGCAAGGTGCTGGTGGGGATAGCTCTCCGTAAATTACCCATAAATTCCAGTTTTACTTAAAAACAGATGGACTCCCCAGTGTCTCATAGTGCTTGGATTCTAAATTTAGATGTTTTTTCCACATTGAGATCTGATCCTTCATTGCATGTCTCTGTTGAATTTCCTCTTGACGTATGTGCAGGAGGCAAGGATTTAAACCATTGTAAGCAGGCTCTGGGGGAATAGGCAGAGAGCCTGCAGCTATGCTTCTCTCCCTGTTTTCTCCCCTTTCCCCTAGTCTTAAAGCATGTGCAAGCAAAGCCCCAGTCTAGTAGCTGGCAACTAGAACAGAATAGTTCACACAAACTTGTGCTTAACTACAATTGGAACATTTTCCAAAATCCTGAGAAAATGGAAACTGTGTACAAACACCAACTGGGATTGTCCTCCTGTTGAGAAGATGGGCCAACTAATGCCTGATAGGGATGTCATCCAACCAAGCTAATCTGCTGCGTGAGTCCTCTATGCTTCTGGTGGTTCTAGAAATGAAACCAAATGACAAAGCATCAGAGTACATTGGAAGAATTATGACTCCACCTGAATTTCAGAAATAAGAACATAAGAGACGCCAATGTTGGATCAGGCCAAAGGCCCATCCAGTCCAACACTCTGTGTAACACAATGGCCAGAAATACCAGTGCCATCAGGAGGTCCACCAGTGGGGCCAGGACATTAGAAGCCCTCCCACTGTTGACACACACCCCAGCACCAAGAAGACAGAGGATCACTTGCCCCAGAGCCCCTATCTATACCTTGTGGCTAATAGCCACTGATGGACCTCTGCTCCATATGCTTATCTAATTCCATTTTGAAGCCATCCATGCTTGTAGCCGCCACCACCTCCTGTGGCAGTGAATTCCATGTGTTAATCACTCTTTGGGTGAAGAAGTACTTCCTTTTATCCGTTCTAACCCGACCGCTCAGCAATTTCATGGAGTGCCCACAAGCTCTTATATTGTGAGAACAGGAGAAAAGTACCTCTTTC